ATTCCACAAGTAATCTCACACATAGCCCTACTTGAGACTGACTAGATTTTCTTGAGATTTTTGACTTCTAAACTCACCTCGTATATCCGAATATGAAAACAACGCGTCCTACTGTAATATTCTTAAATAATATCTATGTAGCAAAAAATTATTATGATATAGTCTGTTTTTGAATGACCAATCAAATATAGGGTTTAACAACAGAGATCAGACCTCTGGGAATCTGTAACCTTAGTGGGATCGAACGCCAATGAAACCAACTGTAAAGGACAATATACTTGACAATTAATAATAATAACAAGCATTTGATTAAAATTCTGCTGCCGAATGTTTTGGTAATTGCTTTGGACTGCTAGACAATATGTCCAATCCAATGTTGGGATGAATGTTTTTAAGTCTACGTTCACACAACTTTTGGGAAAAAAAAGAATAATTGTATCTCTGCAAAGGGCATGTGAAATCAGGTTGATAGACTGACGAATAATAAATGTGCCTAAAAGGAGGAGGGCCTTTACTGTGCTGCTGTTTTTGGCCTTGTTAAGGAACTTCGTAAGGCATACCACCGCTGTAGACGGACTGAACTTCGCAGGTCAGACAGATTTAAGCGAGGTAAGTTTTCTGTATCGGGAATTGCACGACGAGGCTAGCGAATTCTCATAGGAATTGTTCAGAGGTTGCAAGGTGGAACATCAGTGGCGGCTAATGCAGAACGAGATATCATGATCAGGTATGACTGACTGATTTAGCTAGCAAGCGGTACAGATCATCACCCTGGGTTTCAAGGCAAATAAGGCGGACACAGTTGCTGCCAGGTGCTATACTTCTATACCGATGTCAAATAAAGTTACATTGTCGCAGTATTAAGGGAACTTTGATTGGATAAATGTCAGCAGTTCGCTGAGAAGACTAGTTTCGTTTTAATAGAAACCTATATTGTTGCAGATGTCCTGAAGTGGCAGGATCGGAAATTTTTTTAGACAAATTCCTTTATCGACGTGCAGAATAGAGCACAGCACTGATGTCCTTTGACACGCACAACTGAAAATAGTTGTGAGGTAATAAAGGTCAGAATTTATTTAATTAAAGAGAATCAATTCTTATATTCAAGATGCCCATGCTGTTGGCCTTTGCAGGACCGAGGTGAAGCTATACAGACTACTAATGATTTTTTTGTGAGCCAATCAGTCATTAGACAGAGATAGAGTGGAAACATCCATTTTTCAAGGACTGGTCATGATTATGACTAAAGAAAATGATGAATGCGAGGGCAGATAAAAAATATTATTTGTCGGCATTAGATTCACATGTGTAATGAGTACAGATACAAATTGAGTTGTATTATGTTCGAGAAGTCAAGGAAAACCGTGACATTGCCTGGGCAGACTTGATTGCACTAAAGTTTGTAACTGTCGTAAGTATCTATAATTCCATTATGAAAGAAATCACCATTACTAATTATAATGCTCGATCGAAATTATCCGAAGGGTAATCGACGCATCAGCGATATTGTCGCGAATCTGAACGGTGTCCTATGCCAACAAACCACATATAGCATGCTTTTAACAACAACGACATATGTCCCCCATGGACACCAAAATGTGATGCCTTAATTCACCCTGGCATGTATATATATATATATATATATATATATATATATATATATATATATATATAATTGCTACTATTATGTCCCAGAGTAAATTAATTTTGTGAAATGTGCTGTCGAGTTATTTTTGCCCAAAAAGTACGTCCATCTAGTCTCAAATCATCTTGACCCATAGAGCCCCCAAGGTGGTCATAAAATATAGCTAAACACACTGATTCTCATAGCTATTGCATTTAACTAGCTAGCCATGTTCGATTTGTTATGGCAAATGTGGGGCCTAGGTATTGAGGATTCTGTGGTGTTAATAAATGTTCCAAAATAGCCTCACGTTTTAAAATTCGATTCAAATGTTTAATCTACGTGCATTCAAGAAGGTTGTACAGTTTTAATCAACGTTTTAATGGCGGAGTGGCTCGTGCAGAAGATCGCACTGCACAACCTTTGAAACAGGTAGAATAATTAAAACATTCTACTATATAATAGGGGGGGGGGGGGGTCGGTAATAACTTTGTTTATTGATGTTGGATTATCTAAGACTTAGTAAAAAACATGTGGTGGTAATCTGAAATGTGTACATGATTCAGTTGCGAGGAGAGTAATACCATTATGAAATATCATGCCTCGAAGAAATGTGTCACATCTGAATTAATCTTCACATCGTAGAACCATTGTTACGCTCTATAGTAAACCGAAATTTAACCAGTTCATTATTTAGCTGATGCGGTTTTATGTTAGCAATGAGGATCTAATATATCTGCACTATTGTCGAATGACCCATCACGTGCTCGTCGATGCTCAGCCAAAAAAAAGATGATCTTGAAAAAGATCTTTATCTTCATATGATCGAGGATGAAATCATCGCACAGACTTAGCTATTTATGTAACTTGGCCTGTTTGTCAGAGACTTGACTCCAAGTTTCTTTCATACAAAATACAACATATCTCTAACATCAGTCGAATCCTGTTGGGGACTTTTCCTGACTTTGCCCCAAACGTATTACAGACACCGCTTGAATAACTGGGAATTATCGAGAGACCGTCGGCATTCTTAGAAGTGTTCTGAAAACACATTGAGAAATATTACAGAAATCGTTGCTTGCAGGCTTCTGTAGGCTTGGACAAGATAAAGTCTCATCTATTATACAAGCTACATTTCTATGGAATCCGCTCTTTAGTTTGAACTCGTGTGTGTATGTGTAGCATGAGGTTTCCTTGACTACGGTGTGATTTCGTCGCGCCGCTTTTACCCATATGGGCACGTGGCCTCCACCCATGCTGCTTTATGATCAATTGACAATGAAACTGTCGGAAGTGGTACTGTTATCATCAATCGGATCGAATAAATACTGCCGCTTATCGGGATGACCAGTAGAGGGTTTGAGCTCGTTGGCTCCATTATATCTGTTAGGCCACACCGATGGCGACTTAGGTATGAAGAAAGGAGTATTGATTTAGGTGAGTGCGTGTGTTTGTGTGTGTGTGTGGGTGGGTGGGTGGGTGTGCGTGCGTGTGCGTGTGTGTGTGTGTGCACGGGTCCGAGAGATTCTAGGAAGCTGAGTTCTGGGAATAGCACCTGACCTTCGAAGGGATGCGTAACCTGATTTTCGGACAAAAGGGAAGAGAGAAATGGGTGAGTGAGCTTATTGGCGTTAGCTCAAATTTATTGTGACGAACTATTCATTCTAGTTGAACCTTGTGAGCGTCCAGTAGTGAGCTACGATTTGGTACTACGATATACCTTAAGGTATTTCAACACGCAAAAGACACACAACATTTACTGAGCTAAGGTAAGCCTTGGGGAAAGTGAATTGCATAGAAGATGAAGATTCATAGAAAACAGTCTAAATGACTTTTTCAACCGGTCCGACAGTTGATGTACACAAGGTGGGTGCAAGCACAATTTTACAGTATTATTAGAGTTTCGGGCTAAGCAAAAATATGTATATTGCGTTTTTATAATAATATAATACGAGCGGGATTTTACCTCACCTCAAAAATTTACCGATGCTCCGAGAAGCATAACATCAGGATACGTTGTCTCGTCATGCGTTTCTTCATTCGCTGTTTAACGTTATCTTGTCACTTTTTCGTCAGAGAAAAAGTAACAAGATAATTTTTTCCATCTAAGCCAGAGTTAACAATTCAAACTCTATTTTACCACGTAATAGCTATCCCATAGCAGTTTTTCCTACATAGCCTTTCTATAATGCTATGTTCCATTCGAACCATTCCCTTACTTTGTTGTCTCGTTGGTATTTAAACTTGTTGCGAGATCACTGATACGTGTTTGTTTGCTATACAACAATTGTTTGCTACAATATACCTGCCTACAATATATCAGCGTGCTGGGAGTCAGCTGTTCGATGCAATATATCTAACGGCGTAAGCACCGGACATAGAAGACAAAAAAAGGTTTTACTTTTCAAGTCTGGCCTGTTACGTTCGTATAGCCGTATAAGTGAAAAGACACAGGCGAGATGATTAGCGGTGTACATCGATGTCTTCACCGCTGACCCGCCAACTGTCTTAACTGTTTTCTAACTAATTGCTTATTACCTCTATAAACCTTTTTCACTGTTCTATATATATTCACCTTTTTACGTATGTTAAGCACCCCCTTTATTAAGCTTTTATTAAATTATATTAAACTTTATTAAGCAATACTAACCACGTCTAGCTATGTAGGCGCAGCGTATTTTTCTCTGTGCCCATCGAATCAATATTTTATCAATATCAATGATTTAAAGGCACCTTTCCCCGTACTACGTGCTATATGTATTATTACGAAGCGTTAAATTAGACAAAATATCAATTATTCTTTTAAGTAGAATAATTAGTTCTCAGCTATGTCTGTCACAGGAAAAACAATGGACGTATATTGGATACGATATGCCTAGCCGATACTATTCATCTATGGACAAAGAGACCCTAGAAGATCGTAGAATTCTAGTACAAGGAAGATTCGATACTTCATCACTTATTCGGTTTGTTAGTTAGAATACTTCATAATGTGGACAACTGTGTGCTGCGAGAAAGAGGTTCATAATGTTGTACTCACTAGTGTCGTAGCACTTGTAAATGGAATTAATTTCAACAGCAATTCCCAAATCAAAGGCGTTGTTATTTTGAATCCAGGAATGGCATTAGGAATTTTCACTCAAATCATTTCTCTGAAGTCCGTTTAACCGTAACAGAGTTGAGTTACCGACGTTACACTGTGTTGAACCTCTTCCGCCTCCCTTCCCCCCGCCCCTAACGGAAACTCGTATGAGAGAATCCATGATGTGACCGTCACGACGGTACGAATTCTGGGACTGTACATTTTATACTTATTTTCCTGAGTCACATTTTCAACATTTCCGCGCTTCAAGTAATTAGTAATCTTAAACAGGCGTATCACGGTACCATTATTTTTATTAAGTTAAAGTGGTTTCATTATCTACCTATTTTTGGGCCTACTAATATAAATGGACACTGAGAGGAGAATGGCAATACTTCATTCCGTTTCATTGTCCCGATTATGTTTAAACGTCTTAATAAATGTTTAAGATGTCGAGCTATCGCGACGGTTTCGTCCGGAAGAACTTCGTTCTCACAAGTACTCAAAAGCCGTTACATTGACATTGTTCGGTATTATAAAGCTAGAGCAATTGACCCTAATTCACAACGGTACCGTTTTTTTTCGGTACAAGCATAATGACATTTTTCTACTTATAAATCGATCCCTAGTTTGATTTTGCTGTGACCCGCCTAGCTTTTGTATTCTGGTATAATTGGCTTTTGATAAGATATTTTCAACTCGGCAAATTTGAAGTCAGATCGTAGTAAAATTAGACAAGGCCATCTGCTAACTTGCGGCCATCAGATTTTAAGATATGGCAGTTTTCTCATGATAGGTACAAATATCGAACATTGTTTTTATCTTCGTGCTGGCTGAAATGAATTAGCGAGCGTTGACAAAGCACCGATCATTGTCGTCACGCTGCTTTCATCGGTGAGTTTGACGTCCTCATGTGACGTGAGTAAACCCGTTTGAAACTTCTTGCATACCTCGGCCTCAACGCTGTAACTGCCACACGCTAAACTAAACAATTCTCCTGAAATCCTTTCTAAATATTGCTTCACAAAGTTAACCGTGTCTTCATCGCATGTCTTACGTGCTGCCACTTCGGCACACCGAGTATAGGATACGAAATTGCAACACGCCCGTGGAATCCTTTCTCGGACAGATTTGCCTAAATACATTACAATTAGCCCAAATCAATCGTTAGTTTCTATGCTATTGTTTGTAAGAGTTATGGTGGCATCCTGTTCCGATATTTCTCTTTTTGCTTTAATACCTATACGATCTCAGCATTAAAAACTGTAGTATTGTAAACTGGGAAATATAAATTTAATCTTGCCAGATGTCTCCCTACTTGTACAAATCACGTTCGTGATACATCAAACAATTTAGGAGAAATTGAGACTTACCATGATCATCCTCCATCGAGGAACGAATAGAGGCTATAAGACGCGCGCTGCAGTTGTACATATCTGAGGATATTTTATGGATACAAGGTGCCATCCGCAAATAAGAGGCATGATAATCGGATTCTGGATCACAACGCTGTTCGTATTCTTCATGAATCGCGTCATAAAACAAACGCGAGAGGCCTTTCTTGACGCTCGAGTGACATTTTTCTGATCGCTTGCGTACGCAATCTTCAGAAGCTGCTTGGCGCTCGCAGTGCTCCTTTAATTGCTCAGTATTCGCAGGAGCCATCACCTAGGAAATGAGAAATATTATGGTTCAATTCCTAACCATGTAGTCGACTTTAATAAGTAGAGAGCACGATGCCTCCGAAAAAGCGTGACATATGCTCACAGTCGACGGCGACATACAGGGTAATTGAGAAACGTTCAATAATATCGATTGCTCTTCAGTTTAGATTCGTTAAACGAGGCTAAACATGAACAACGTCAGAGCTATACGCGAGTATCTGGAGTGTCTTTTTCCGTTCAGGAACACAGCTGTGATTAGATCTATCTCACAGTTAAATACTTTCAAGACAGGGGCGTTATAGAAAAAACAACAAAACACTAGGTCTTTCTACGTTGACGACGATTTCGTGGAACGGGGAGATGAGCATAGTGTGGCAGCGGCTACGAGAAAGGCAAAACGATAACAGTAGAGAAATTACCGATTTATAATAATATATTGTATTATTATTATTATGTAGTATTCCATTTAAGACGCGGTTGTTTCCAGACTAGACTGGCCACACTTGCAGAAATAACCTCTCGAAGGTTTTTATCCTATCTATAAACGCTTTTTTGCGTTTTACAGATTGCTGCTATTCAAGCAATTTATAACATGACGATGACGAATGAATCTGATTTTATATAGTTGCATTTATAAAGTGACAACAGTTATTAGCAAGAAAGATCGTCAAGTCTATATTTGCTGGCAGAAAAAAGAAATCTGGAACTATCATTGCTGAATTGGCGGTAGAGCTTAACATCTGGCCTGTATAATGTACCCTTTATAGCTAAAACTAAACATTTACACATATTCAAAGGGATTTTTTTTTATTTCTTTTATAAATACAAGCAAACTGACACTTCAATAGCATTTCTGATAGTGGCCTAACAGCGGTTTCGAGTTATTTAATATACGCATGCTTATATACCTTAATCGATTACCTCGTTGAGGCTGGTGGTCCAAAGGAAGATATACTGTCCGCACTTGTCTAAGTAAGCGATAGTACATTCTGGGTTGTCCGCTGGAGCTGCAACACAGATCAGTCGCTCTCCAATTGCTAGAAGTAACGCGGCGACGACGACGCCGAAATGTGAAGGCCGAAGAGCGGACATCCGTTTGAGGTTTGGCAAATGCATCTCGGCGATGTTTTTCTTAATGGAGTCAAGCAGAATGGATAAGCGAAGCCAAATAGGGTAAGAGTCGCCAACAGCCACACTGTAATTAAAACAAGAGCGACACAAACAATAGGATTCGCTATACCGAAAATAATAATGATTAGATTTAAAAACATTCGTATCTGAATACGGTTGTCAGAAAGATACCACAAACATAAATGTAAATAACTGCAGGGATTATGGGTTGAATTTAATTGGCCAAAAGGCACTGCGCAACTGGGTCCATCCTGCAAGGTATTCCTTCCGAAAGCTTCTACATTGCTGTTGTTTTTATGTTATCGTATCACACACGTTACTGTAAGCGCTTTGGAAGCGCTCGCGACGATGTGAACATTTTTGGACAGCGTATTTTCCGTAGATCTGAAGAACTAATCTTGAATTAGATGATCACGAAGTATAACTTTTGAAGTGAGCTACGTTTTTTTTTTTTTATCTATTAAAGGCTTCATAACATAGTTCTTCCTCTCAAACTAGCACACGTCTACCTCAAAGACGTATAGGCTTTGTCCACGAATAGGAAAACTCTTACAAATAAACAAACACGTTATCACAACGTAAACGACTTTTCTGCGTAGAAGTTTTGTCCGCATAAGACATATCGATGCAGTGTTATTCAAATCAAAGCGTGGTCCACATGCCCTATTCGAATTGAGGGTACACTGCGGCGCTTTCTATTTATTTGCGTTTATTCATACGTCCGGAGTATACGCGGACATGTTGCTAGCGTTAGTTCAAATATGAGATAGTGTTAATGCACAGTAGTGCTACATAAACAATATCGCTTGATCTGGTCATTTGGCCTCATGGAAAAACGTCAATTATTTTTATTTTTTTCACCTGCCTAAATTTTTTTCTTAGGTTGTTAGCTACTCGATTTTACGAAATTGATTCATATTCAGTTGGCGTTTAAAAGATTACTACAACGTTACATACCATTTCGTTGATATGGATCGTATCTAGCCCCATTCTAACGCAATAATCGATTGAGCCTTCCTGCATGGGGACTCAAGAAGCCAAAAATCGTGATTTCTAGTAGTACAAGACAGTCGAAGTGATGTTTATTATATCAACGAGACCTACTAAGACGCCACCGATACACCTTACAACCGCCATTAACACTCTGTTTATAATGAAAAAAATGTACACCTTCTCGACAAACACCGACCTCCGAAGTATCTACAAAAATCGACCAAAATATCTTATTACGAATGCTCTGGCTACTGGTAAATCATGGAGCACTGAACCTTACGATGAAGATTTGCAGCGAAGCGTCTGATGATCTAGTGCTTTACAATATATGTAGAAAATTTTCTTTTATATAAGAAGCCGAAATGAAAGACCCTTCCCGAATAGGGCAAGGGAAATCTGTTACGAGGCAAACTGTCTAAGTCTGCGGGACTTTTATTGACCTCCAGATCTGGAAAGCAGAAATACAATCCGAGGCCGCGGCTGTATCCGACGCCACCTGAAGAGGAGGAAAACAAAATAAATTCAGTTTTCCCTTTACCTCAGCGGTCTCCCAGAAATTACCTCGTGAGCTCGCGTCAGCGACAATATGAGGGTTGAACGTAATCAGCGGTATCTTTTGAGAAATTTTTCAAGTGGAACCGTATAGGTTTAATATTGGCAGTATTAACTATGCGGCTCATACGCTATGATGTGGTAAATTTGCAAAGGACAAAAAATGAAATCAGGAAGTTGATCGTCACCCTTCGAAGTAGCTTTGCTAGTAGGCCAATCCCAGAACCGCGAATACAGTTGTGTGAGCTAGGCGCAACGACTTATCATCCGTCTATTGTCAAAATCGTATATCAGAGCTTCGCTAACTGCCATGCTAGCGTGTTATGACGACAATGCTAGAGGAAACATTATCATCCTAATAGTTATTTAGTGCAATAATCAATCGTCATTTGTTGTGCTATTTTACATTACCACCTGAATATCGTATCAGCAGTTCGTAAACCTCACTAGCCTTCACCTAAACCCTTCTTTCATGTTATTTGACGGTGCCAATTCGACGTCTGCTCGATGTCAACCAACGTGCGGACGATGTTCGGTCGTTTAAGCCTGCTTCAAATCATGTCACGGCGCTGATGATGCTAAAACGGCCCACCATTGTCGCTATCAGTAATTAGTAATGCTTGTCTGATTCATACGCTACTGGATAACCTGTTGCGGATGCAGTCTAGAAGAGACCGCGCAGCAGTCGGCAGACCGTGCCTGGTGATTTTTTTTTATAAAACAACAGGCTGAAAAATAGAGTAAGTGTAGACGCCAATCGGTCAGTTTTGGCGGTATTGATGACTATGTTGGGATTTAGGAACTGGCTGAGCCGTACCTCTACTCGCTTCATTTTTTCAAAGAGAAAAAAAACAGATAACTAACGGAAATCTGTGAAGCATTTTGGATATTAATGTACTTCCGAAAGTTCAGGTTTAGACTTGCGGAAAGATATAGGCTATGGTACCTTCATTACCCTGAAATGTTCGCGGTTTAGGTTCATACTGCGAAACAGTGTTAAAAAGAAATGCGTTTGTTTATATGTCCCTGAGGAATGAATCATTGTCATCATTTGAGACACGATAGGCCGGAATAATTTAGAAGAATTCAGCGAGTATATCATAGTCATAGAAAAAGACATCACATTTATTGATTATTTTCATCGTGACAGTAATATTAATTTAGAACGAGCGGGCACATAGAAGCTCCGTGGTTGGGTGGAATGGGGACGCTGTTCGTAAATACGTGCGAGCAACAAACAACATGCCCACAAAGTGTTACTTTTAATGTTAGAGAGGTATGACCGCCATAGAAAAAAATTCTCAATGATTTATTTGCTATAATCGTCACGCGGTTTGTTTTCAGCCCTTCTCGGAATGATTGCAAACGCTCCAAAAGGCCTGCATTGAGAAGGCACTCACTCAGAGCTTAATATACAAAGTTCGTGGTTCTTCGACATAGCTATTAACAGAAATACCTATTTGTGAGAAGGAATACGGCACTCTTTTAAAGTAAATCATTGCAAAGCAAAACAAGATTATAGTGAATCGAATCTTTTCCGGACCCCCAAGCAACTATCATACAGTATAGCGTAGTCAACAATATTTTGCGCATCTTTTCTATAATAATAATAATTCCGTAATATCTAAAATTACGTAAGAGGTTCCGGGTTACTCTACCAAAGCTGTTGTCACAATCCAGTACATCTTAAAATACTAAAATTTAATTCACAAGAGTTTTCACGTATAAAATGTTTATGCATACGATATTTACAGGTCTTTTTTGTTGCATGTTTATAAAAGCCGATATATTTGTAACATAATTAAGGTGGTCACTACATAGGCTATCGGTGGATAGGATAGTACAACTGCTAACAGTTGCCAAGTAAGGTGGAGCCCTTTCACTGACGCCTTAACAACTGGGACGTGTATCCTTGACGATGACGGCTCACCCAGCAACGATTGCGTCTGCTATCTCGAAAAGATCGGGGCGTTCTCATCGCGCTGTCAAAAACACAATTCTCGGTCACCATTAGAGAGGACACCGCAGACTCCAATAGTCAGCTAGTGCAAATTTACAGCGGAGAGCATTAGTCGTTAGGTGTCATTGCTGACAGCGACGGTGGCCGAGAGTTTTGGTTTCAATCGGAATCAACTGTTTAGGTAAGCAACAGCAGCAGTAAGAGTATGTTAATGAATAAGTTTCACGAAAAACTCCTCAGTGACGGACGAAGTGGATGAGACAATGCAGTGCTTGTCGACGAAGGCTCAGGGCGGTATTGGCAACGAGATGCGATCCTCTTTACTAATAAATCTTTTTGCATGACTTAACAGGTCAGCAAACTAACCCTCGGCCCTCAGTATCTCATCGAATATATCGAGTGTTCCACTTGTGCATTAATTATATTAACGGCATTTGGTTGCGGCTGCAAAAACTGTTTACGTCACACGGTATACGCTAGCAATGTATCGTAGATTTTACTACTCATTCGATGTATTTTTCATTTAAAAAAAAAATGTAGATTTACAGCAGAGTTCAGCGAGACAATATTTCAAGAAATTCGTTCGACCTACTTAAATTAAAGCCTCTGCTGGTCCAGATTTTGGGAAAAACGTCATTGAATAAAACGGGTGACTTGCTTGGTCAGTGCACTCGTGAGCGTTATATTAGCATATAAATAAATTGTCTGCTAAGGTTAAGACAGGCCTATTCTTACCTTATTCTGTTCACGTAGGCCACTTCTAGGCATCTTGTACAACAGGACATTGGCTTGGATTCAGCCAGACAGTACACGTCCATCGACATGATTTCGAAAAGTTCGGCTTATCTTTAAGTAAGTAAGTTGCTTCTTGTTGAGTGCGTATTTATAGTATCTACCCTATTTTAAATATGCATCGTTTCCAATGTTACACTTGATGGAACTTCAGTTGACGAGAATGATTTTGGGATTTTCAAAACGACGGTATAATATTTCGTCGTGCGTAGGTAAAGAATCTGTTTTGGTCATTCTTTTTTTATCATCAGATGATCGTTATATGCCGACCTTATAGTCATTGAATAGCTTCTGTATTACTTAGCGGTGTTGGCATGTTATTCAGAGCATTTTGAACGTCAACAAACGCTGCTTCGTAGTAATAACCCCCGTTGTTATTGCTACGAAGTGTAATATCACTTATGATTTCATTTCTACAGCTCCAGCTGGAAAGGGACACCTTACGACTGAGCTAATGAGTTTGCTATAATCCGAATTGGCCTGCGTTTCGGCTAAGCCTGTCACCGTACCGTATGGACGCGCGTATCAGTGTCGAAAAGGAACGAAATCCAAAATGTCCTTGTTCTCGGAAGCTGTACATTTTACAACAATTTCCATTTTGTGCTGATAGATAATTTTACGCTATCTTATTACAGGAAAATTTTATTCGGAAGCTAAACATGTCTAGCGCAGACTAAAGCCTGGTAAAGCATATTTGCATCTTGCATCCTCGGTATACCTCTTTTGGTTACCATTGGCCTACGGTAACATTTTTCTGTTCTTACTACTATTATTGTTATTGGCGATGTTTGGAGCCTAAATATGAAATGATAATTTAAACCGCATTCGCCCAACAGCGAAACTTTTCGTGCCGCTCCGGGATTCTATACACGGGAGCCGTTCCATTACGAATCACATACAAGACCCAAAAAAAATCAACAAAACAGTATCATAATCTAAGTAATTTCATATTGTTGCTTTGTTTAATGCTTAAGGTCAAAAACGCCATTAACGTCATACTATATACATATATTATACTTTTCACACGAACACATTATATACAGTGGTGGTTCTTCGCCGCTGAAGTTCCGTCTTCGTTGTTGTCCCTCACCTGCTTTGACGGTTCAACCTTGAGGATACATTTTGCCTGATATATCCACTTGTACTGCGCAGTACTAGCGAAGTACCGGTATGATTATATACTATTTATTCCTGATAATTAAGACAATACAAGAAAAACTGTCTTCCTCGAAACATCTGTACTGTTTTTACTTAATTGTATTTGTCCGCCTTAGTGGATTGTGATGCTTGCAAACTATTATATTTATAGTTGATAAATCGGGGTATTCGCGTAGGCTGCAGCAAGATATTGATTCTTCTTTGGGAGACCGTAAACGACGAAAACGATTAAGCAATTGAACTGACACAAAAAGTGCTGGGATACAGAAGAGTTACAATAGAGGCATAATTTTAAGGACTAGCTACCTGTACTGAGGTTAGGCTCAGCTAACATAATGCAGCCGACATAGGCCAAACGGTTTTGTATCATACGCCCTGGTCTAACAGTGGAACATATTTTTGTTCGGCTAACTAAAAAATAGCGCGTCATGCGCTTGCGGTCGTCAGTCAAACGACTTAATATCGATTTGACGATTTTATTAGAATAACTCCTGTATACTTCAACAAATTCCCTTGAATCTTGCGTTTTCCATTCAGGCAATTGTATTCGGGCGGACTAGTAGGCACGGTATGTGCAGCATCGTTATGCTGCAAGGAGTAACTGTCTTCAGTTACAAGTGAAAAGTATCCAAAAATACAAGCTTGGCTAAGTTAACGGAAGACAATTTCTCCAAAATCTAGTGAACGGAATTAGTTAATAGGGTATTTTCGTTCACTTAACTATCTCTAATAGAGCTAGCTCAGCCCATTTATCGAAGAAGAAATTTTTCAGCCTGCGTCATTCAAAATCCCATGAATGATATACATCTTTCAACTTCGTAAAAATCGAAATATCGGGTTTCCCAGTATATTTATGGAGGTAATAGGATTTTTCATAAATCTGAGTGGCAAATGTTTTACTAAAAAAATATATATATATTTTTTTCAATGCTTTTTCTGAGTAACACATAATTATCTATTGATTTCATGTGAAGATAATTATTTTAAACGAAAATAATTGTTGTCCAGATCTGGCTTGTTAGTAATTCAAGCGGTTATTCACGCGCTGATCGGCCAGCAGCTTCCAATGTCTGATCGAGTAGCATCGCCTACGTGGAACAATGCGGTCTTGTTCAACGAAGTTAGACAAAAAGCCTCATATAAATGAAGTGACTGCTAAAGTAAGAGCCCGCATCAATTCTATATCATAATAATAGATTATAAATGTAAAATAATAGCTCAAAAAGACAAGCTGCCGCGAAGAATAGTGGTTTTATATCAGGCGACTTGTCTTACTTCGTATTTCCAAGGAAGAAAGGATTGCTCCTCCTGGCTGAACCCAAGCCACGCTCAAAACAAGAGCGCAGGTACAAAGGTATTTCATTTGCTAAGCGACTGAGCAAAAGTTGGTAATTGCAGTTTGTGAGCAGTTCAGGCTCCGAATTGAAACTGTAATTCAGCGAATAGCATTTGCAATGAATATGCGCGTCTTTTCGCGACCTCTTTGCAGAAGAGGTTCACTTTAATATTTGCTTTTAATACAAACAGGTAACGTACATATATTAACCAACGCTTCATACATAAATTGCCTTCATTCACAAAAAACAACTTTTCAGATATATTAAAATTACTCCGAAGGAGCGCTCCATCAAGCTGTAATGACGCCCCTTCATCGGTCGTTTTTATACATTGCAGCTGGTACGATTATTATACAAACATGTTTATCGAAGATTCCGCCAAACTTTTTTTGGTGGAAACAACTAACAATGGAGGGGAATCTTTTTGAAAAGGGCATCTGCCCTCATAGACATGTAAGAACGTAAGCCAAACGGGTTTCTCGATACGAGCTTCCCAAACGCCGTACAGGCCTCTCTTATTCGCGCACCGACTTGCTTCAGCTCACTCAGTATGTGATGTTGTTAGTCTCTACATAGAAAATACACACAGGTGCATAAGACACATCTGGCGCGCCAGACGAGTGAGTGCTCCTGCAATGCTAGGCTTTGTAGTCAGTTTTCTTTACCTTCCGTCCGTTTCTCACCTGAGTGACTACAGTATGTTACTCTTCATATTGCTCATCTACTAGTCTCTTCATCGTCAATCCGCATGGATATTATCGTCATGTCGCACGCAAGGCTCGCCTTCGCGCCTGCCGTTTCTCTGTTCACCAATGCTAAAAGTAAGAGAATACTCGCCGAAGCCCTGTGATAAAGAAAAGCTACGAATGACAGATGTAGATGGACAAATAGACAAACAGGAAGCAATCGGACAGATATAGTCAGCAAAACAGACGCGGAATTATGCGATCGGGAAGGGCAAGGGAAAGTTGGTAAAGTAAGAAGGAACAACGACAGGCTATTAGCCAATTGTCCTACCAAGTGCAATTTACCTCCTACAGAGCGGTCAGTTGTAAGCCCTTCACCCCCTAAAATGTTGCCACCGCATAGCTTATTTCACCAAAACTTTTAGAAAAATACCTCCTAAAGTATATGCCATTATTCTAGCCACAGGTGATGCTCACCACTACAAGTGACACTCCTATCAGTTACGGTGCAATATATAGCGACACAAAACAATAGCCCGTAGCGGTTGCTCTACAATTTTCATTCCCTGCGTTGTTTACGTTAGTGCGTATAATGTTCGCGCATCCCATCACCGTCTCTTCGTTCGCTAACTGTCCTATTACGTCGTCTGTGTAATAGACTATTGAGCACCAATCCAGTTCATGCCGGAACCTATGTTGATAAGACTCGTTATTATTGATGTGCACCATAGCACCTTGATCGGATCGACGTCGCCGGCAAGGGCAGAGTCAACGCGGACACGAATGAGGAGAGAAGATGGTCTTAGGGCTGCCCATACCACCATTGAGAAAGAGGGAATGTGGTAACCGTAGTTCTATGACAGACCCATAGATAAACGGCGAAGCAATGGAAAAACACTAACATTGCCAACTGGAACACTCACAAGAGACGCAGTATCCGCGCGGCGGCTGAAACATAGTGTAATGATGTTGCAGTGATTCTGCTGTGCATGTCGGTTTGTGTTAGGGTGAAGGTGGACAAGAACTTAGTAGACGGATGTGTAAGCCTGTGCGACGCGTGCCTTAGCCAGTAGAGCTCCTCTGCGTCCTGTTGATTAAGAATGGTAAACGACGTCGGCAGACGTCATTCGTTGGGTTCGCTTCTCGGAGGCAAACGGCACTTGATCATCGACGAGAAATTTTTCAGTTAGCCGTCTGCCTGTGAACGCCTGCTTGCTGTTGCTGTTGCTTCTCGATTCAGCTACGAGCGCGGTTCCATTTATACGTAGAGGGTGAGGAAACGCTCAAGTGGCTCGATTTAGTACGCAAATGTAGTAAATGTGACCTGTCAGTTTGTTCCCAGTAGGAGCTGTCACTGTGAACGAAATGCATGTAAGAAGCTTCCTAGCCCAGGTTTAATTTGAAGCCACAGGCAAATCTATCTGTTAGGTGGCTGCCTACCTATCTATCGAAATCAATGGAGCGATTCTTGGTACTACTGAATATCAAGCACACTATTCAATATTGTATACAACTAGTACTGATACTACTTGGCGCTAAATTTACCCGCTCATACAGACATCGTGCGAAGGATTACATCCTGTAGGTGCGCCAACCAGCCAGCATGAAACCAACGGGTGAACTTCTAGCCACGTGCGGCCCTATGCTTCTTTCGACTGAGTACGTGTTTGCCCAATGCTGAAGTTTATAGTTGCAGCACTTTTGCCACTATTTCTGCAGCTTCTACTTAGCAGTTGTCGTAATCTGATGTGTAGTCCAATTGACTACTGAATTTCTCTGAAAACTGAACGCCGCTAGAGGTCGTTTACGGCTGAGGAAATCATAAAGCAGCACCGGGTGACAAGCGCAATTTCTAATGCAGTTAGTAGAAGCAAGATGGTCAATCGGGCGTACACAAGGCATATTATATATATGTAACACTGCAAACTATGCTTGGCGTTAATGTATGCCAAAGCGTTCTTCCAGTGGCGAGACAATGCTACAGTTAATCGCATAAGGTCCACCGACCCCTTGATGTTTGTGGGTAACTTATATATGAACGACGCCAATATGGTTTGTTTTTTTTTTTCTTAAAGTGAGCGGTCTGTACGACGCGCAACAACATGCTATCGGGATGATTCTGCGATAATGTTCGTGGTAGGCTGGCAATGTAGCAAAAATGTTTTGTAACCAATTGTTTGAACTGTCTTTTTTGTCTGTTTGGCTCGTATGCACGCTTACGAATATTACAATACTGGGCCACGTCAAAGGCAGCAGGTAGCTAGTGGAAAATCAAGCCTGCAGCAATTTGGAAGACAAATTTTATGCAGAGCAGTGTTACTGCATTCACAGATCCGTCGAGATTATCGTACGCGAAGGTGCACGTGTGTGCTTCTCGTGAGAGATGTTTTCATGCATGTGCGCTGTTTTATCGAAACCGTATTTCTCTTGACGCAGAAATTGGAGTTCACACACGACGTGCGTTCTTACGTAAATCGCCTCGCCAAAACGATTTCGCCATCAGACGTACTCATACTCAGACTTGCACCACCTTTCTGAATCAAACACAACCGCCACATTTTTAGGTGCCGTGGATACATTTTTGAACCATCAAATCAGAATTAGCACGGCCTAACTGTACATTCTTTTGCCCAATACGCCTAATCCAACTGTTTTGATTTAACGACGATAAAGCGTGCCCGACATTTTTGTTATCTCTGACCAGATGTAAAATGTCCATCTGGGAAATACGCTTATGTTGAAAAGGAATGATCTCGAATGCCTTTAGTGTGACGTTCTCGGAACTGTTAGTCAGAGTAAAAATAATTGCCCTACCCCTAACAGACGCAATGGCGACGTCCGTCTGAAATTGGACGCTAGACCTTTTTGAGCTGCGACATCCGGCGGAATCTACTTTTTAAAGTTTCATGATGTTGCGAACAGCCGATGCATTCACTGTCCCTCTAAAGGACAACTTATAGAGAGTGCTGGTGTAGGTGCAACTGGTATAAGTATATGCACCCCGCGTTGTTTTTCGACTTAGACCTACATACATATAGTAGCGATCTCTTTCTCTATATAGGGAAATATATTCATTAGTGATATATCAATTTATATGTAAAGCTTCGTATAGCTTTAGGCACTATAAGATCTATTTAGTCGCGTCATCATAAAGAAGCTATTGACAGGAGACGTTTTCTGGTTAGCTTTCGAAAACCGTTCGCTATCATACGATGCGATGAACATCCTCTAACGGTACGAGCAGACATTAGGGTTAGCTTCGTTCATCACTGACAAATCGCTACCAGTATGAAAACCGTATTGGACAACTTCAGTTCATTATTTTGTGAAAGTAGCATAAGTGATTCCAAAGTGATTTATCATGCGCACAATATTGCACATATTTTGCTCGTAAGTCATAGCGAGCTGGCTATAACAATTCGCCTTAGAGCCTTTATATAACTAACTTCTTAAGAAATCATGATTGAAACCGTTTACTTTGCATTTAAAGACAAAAACCGAGATTCGACCGCCAATGAGATCACTTCAATAAAACTCGCTTTCACGCACGAAATATTTGTACATGACCTTCTTACAGGGGGGCAATTAATCAGTATAGATTGAGTAACGGTCAAGGACTAACGAGGATCGCGGTTAGATAAGGCATCGAACCCAATTAGAATTGGAAACGTTTTTTCGGCTATTTTTTTTTTTATAGACGTTTACTAAGTAAGGTGCTAAATGAGTTGAGAGTCGAGACACCATCGTCTGCGAACGAAAAGACGCGTGTAAACTCGACGTACTAAATCTAGACAAAGTAAAACTACTAGTATTCAGGTCGTGTCGTTATTGACAAATAGTTAAGATTTGAACAAATGCAGTGATATATCTACTGTGACAGAACAAAGTTGCTATAGTTTGATGCGCGCACACGACCGAGACCAGACGTCCGATCTCTAAATGATTCACCATTGTATGTCACGCTACGATCGCAAGGGGAAATCTTATGTTCAAACGAGAAACAAAATAGACAAGGTGCGTTGTGTCGATACTCTTCGACAAAGGCAATCTTTACATAGGTGAAATGGTTGCATATGCTTCTAACTAGTACTAAAGCAATAAGCAAAAACGTAAAAAAGCTGCTCGTAGATGGGTGTGTTCAAAGTGTCTCGATACGGAACTGGATTACCCCGTGGTTTTGGACAGTTCATTTGTCTTCAATGTTTGCCATTGTATGCCTTCGAAGAAAGGACGATAGAGATGTGAGCGCCGTTCATTACCGCAAGAACAACTGGACAGTAACGCAATAAATGGCAGTAGGTCAGCAATAAATGTTTTATATGCCAAACTACTAATTTCATTTTGGCCTTATTTAAGGCAATAGATAAAATGATCCCGATTCAGCAGTGCCTGAAGTCGTACCAATATGACCCTAAGAGTTCGCAGATCTAAACTTCAGAGCCGATTAAACACTAGTCAAGCGAATTTCAGCTACGTTTATTACGTTAAGTTAATTAGATGATAATTAGCACATAGTTCTTACCTGCCAAAAACAAGAACATGGCAAGTGAAGTTAAGAAGGAAATTGACATTACTCTTGTTAAAGGTTACTATTGGCTGCGGTCTTGCGCGCACCGAAGGTGGACGCCCCTTGACGGGCTACTTCCCCTCAAGCCACGTTGTTCAATACTTTTACGTATAAGTCATATTTATTTTTACAGTGTATCCAAATGATGACCATATCCAATGCATAATTTGTATTCGTACTGCTGAAAATGAAAAACAACGTTGCCATATTTTAATATTATGGTTATTATTTTTTTTTCTACAGAAGTTCCACTAGGTCAAATTTGAATCGAGCGGGTTGCTTTAGGATTGTCATGGTCTGACAATAGCTGTTTATTATAGATAGCGAGTCGAACTACTGCAGTGATTTTCTCTTTAATTACGCTAATGTATTATTAGATATGCCCAATTTGGAGGGGAGGGCAGACGGGTCGGATCTGTGGATATGTCTCTGTGGTTGGCGTACTGGTAATATCAGCAGCGGTTAATTATAGTTAATTGCAGATATGTTGGCTTATGTGTATCGGCTACAATATTCTACTGTGTACCGAGTGTGGATCATACTTAAATAGCAAGATGACAATATTCAACGACGGTTAGCTTGTGGTCAACGGCCGTATGATTCCGCTTTTCTATCTTACGATCGATATGTATGTCTGTGAAAGATACTGCTCGCACTGTACAACAATCTATTACGGCAGGATCCGCATATTATACATTAACCATATGGCAACGGGGAGAATTTCCAGAGGAGAAGTTTCGCTATTCGGGAGCAATATCAATCGAATAGGAATTTTCTACTATGCACTAGATAAAATGATTTTAGTGTGCGAAAAATCGCCCGGAGCGTCCGACGTTCGCATACATGGTGTAACAGGTGCGCTTAACCAGCTTGATCCGATCAGACTTTTTTGTGGCAACGATTGATTCGAAAGTATGGAGCCGCATTGTAGTGGAAAAGTGTGCATACATTTACTTGAGCAAACTTTCTAAATAGCTATGCACTGGATGGCCATGTTAGTTCACTGCGCTGTTATTTTTCTGGACACTCGGAAATAGACGGTCTGATGTATTCACAGAGGAACTGGAGATTATTAAACGTATTATTTGGTAAACGCGTCGCAGTGAAACGGTACAACTTTGAATTATCGTAAACTAATGGCTTTAGCAAAATCGAATGCCTTGGGAAGATATACAGACCTATTAGATCGCTTCTAAATTTTAAGGTGTTAACATCGTCGGCTTCGTAGGTATATTTTGACGTTTCAACTATCGGGCCGAGAAGAGCTAGCTACAACGTTCATAGGGAATGTGTGAAACTAACAGATGGTGGTGTCAAACTCTCCCTCGTATGGCTGACGTTTTCACGCTTAAACCCAGATAGGTATCAGGCAAATATTCGTACAGTTCTCGTATGCGTGCCTCGTTCAAGTGAACAGGCCGAACATAGAACTTCTGTTATGACCTTATCTGGCCTATTTGTTCCTACAAGAAACAATCGCGGTATTAGTAAAAAGGACGAGTAAGGGATTATATCAGTTTTAACGTTCGACCTAAGGTTAATTGCCCCTACGTCTAACTAAACTGTCTCCACTTTCTACCGTCGTCAACAAACAGTTGAAATCTATTTATGTAGCTCTTTTTCCAACCATCAATAGACTTTCACGGCTCTAGGCGTGCCCCTATTAGATATTGTCCACTTTTCTCTTGCACTATTCGAAGAGCATTGTCATTCGTGTCGTTATCGCCATTGCGGGTGTTGCGTAGGCACTTCCTGTGTCTCGTGCCGCTGCCTGCGTCGTCAGTGTTCAGCCGCGGCCATGGTAATGCAAATACTATTGACACATCGTACCGTACAGACTCACCAGGAAGTAAACCAGAAGTAGCTTACTGTGAGTCTGTTCTCCTACAAAAGACGCGCGATTTTAGCGCATGCGAACTTTCAGCGAGCTCCGTTTCATTATTGAAAATAGCATGGAAGTAGCGACGCGATTAATGCTTGAAATAGGGCGAAGAAGCGATTGCAACCCGAACAGATCTTTGAGCCGAGGCCAATTGGCTTAGCAGAGGCTTGCCCGCTGACGGGAACGAGGAGCTAGACAGCGCGGGTCTTGCCCGCCGGCTAAAAAGAGCATACACCCTGCAATCGAACGCGGCCCAACATTATTTCGTGGTACCTATGAAGAGGAGAAGTTGCACGAAGCAAACCAAGCCACTCTTCCAGTACAGCTTGAGAGCGGCGACAATGTCGCAGCACGGTCTCGAGAAGTGGAAGCGCTATAATCACTATAATGGCAACGATGTTGATGATGATATTTGTTCAAGCTCTCATCAGCTGAGATAGCAAGTTTTCTAGCGGACAAACCAACTACACTGCTACATGCCTAACTGGCAGATTTGGGAAATTTATTCGTCTCCGCCATCCGGATCGTCATCGTCGGAAGCGCCAACCGTACAGCCATCCCCTGATTCTCATGGCGCGGGCGCCCGGGGAATGTTAGCTTCGCACGAGTCTGCGCAGGTTTGTAGTAGCGGTACGTGGTAAAGGAAAGGCAGATGGAAGGAGTGTGCATGCGCCGTGTGATATTTATTCGCCCATCCGTCCGTCCGTCCATCCATTCGTGCCTTACGACACGTCTCGGAAGAAAAGGAAGGGGAAACATAGAAAGCACTATTAAGAGAAAAATCATACTCTTACTATGTATCCGTGTCTGTTCGCCAGGCTATAATCGCAGTTTTAAGGCCGAGGTTGTTTGACGTCGTAGTCTTCCTTCTACTATCTAGGGCCTATGGACAGTGTGCTGTTGCTGATCCTGCTGGGCCGTTGCCCTCGAGGGCATAGAATAGTAGACTGTATATTGAGATTTAACACGAAAGTACTCATCAGGGGGATGGTGTGTGCTATATAAAGAAGGAAAAGAATAGGAAGAGCCGTCGAAACAAACGAAGAGCGTTCAGCAAAAGATCGTCGGTGAATCAAAAGAGGATCGATCCATAAACAAATATGTCCATTGATGTCGATAAACCAGGTAGTTATCGAAATATGTATTGTTGGAAACACGTCTGGGTGCTTTGCTTATACAGTCATGTTGTGTCCGCCGTGTTTGCTCTTAATAAAGCCTTACAAACTGATCTGAAGCCTCGTCAACATCGATGGACCTTTTCGCGAAAAGTAATCGCTTTTCATGTAAGGGCCGCTCTCTTCTTAAATGATAGTTAAATAACTCGTGATGTTATTTGCTGGTACTAATCGAGCGCGATACACCTATCATGAAGAGGCAGTAATTATAAAAACCACATCGAAAGACGCATCTTTAAGAAAAAGTGGGCTGAATTAAAGTGACGATCAATAAATGGTATGAATGGCCGTCAGACGCTGGTCATATTAGCTCCGATTGGGTTTCTGAAGCTGTCTGAACAGACTTGGCTGGTTGCATTGTCGAAAATAACTGCCTACGTAAGACTAGCTTGATCAGACTCTTGCTACTCAGAACGATAGCCACCTTTCCCATCTTTTGAGTATTTCTCTCGAAGATTGCTATTTTTTTCAATAGATTCTTGTAACTGCCCTCAGTAGATGGGTAAACTAGTTTACATCTTGCTGCAGTTACTTGAAGCTGTAAAAATTAATTGTTATTATTATTATTATCAAAAGTACATTGATTTTGTTTAAGATAACTTGCATTCTCGTGGTAACAATTGAAGCACCGATTTTCGGACATACCTTGATTTGCAAGTTACCACTAGACGGATAGGCGGATACAGAATAAACTCTTATTTTAATATTATCGAATATTGAATACGTGTTCGTTAAAATCCCGTTTCAACACAGACTCTATTAACGATGCCTGTTTTTCTTGATTTTATTAGTTAACCGGCAACAACTGTGGTTTTGTTATCGTTACGTGAGCACTATTATACAGTCTGCTTCCGATAGCGTGTTACATATATGTTTTACCATAGAGATTTTGTTTGCGCAGATGCCATATCAAAAGCAGTAGCTGCAACCTGTTATCCACGGTGTTTTTTGTTCATCTAGCAGAAATATGATGTTGAGTTAGACAACACTGTATTAGTAGGCGAGCGTGTGCGACCTGACCGCGACGTCGCTGCCGCCTTATCACTGCGAGTGGTAGGTCACCCCGTTACCTCTAATTCGTCAATGTGCCTCTCTAAAAAAGTGCTCTCCCTTTGCCTGACCTTGCGTTCGACCTTAACTAACGCACGATGCCTTCCTTTTATCTCTATTGTAACCAATTAGAATCTAGTGGATACAGCGTAGTGGTTAGCTCGCCACCGAAAGGTAACAGTGTATCTGGTAACATCGACCGTAATAGGGCCAGTTTATAGAGCTAATCGTCGTCTTGCACGCGAACTATGCATTTTTTTACTGTGGTTAACCATACGAAGATTCTTCAACTTTAAGTAGAAACAGGCTTTGGACACCTAGTTCTGGTATATCTTCACCTTAATTATGCTGGTCTTGATTAATGAGCACTTGATTTTTTCGTCTCGCCGCTGTTAATCAAAGCCTCCAGTTTTACTGCCTGCACCAGTAAATAGAAGGCTATTACCATTGTTTCTACTCAATAATAATCACTTGGCTCTGAACTCAATGATTGGCCTGAACCTAACATGGATGCCAGCTCGAAAACGGCCCGACGGCAATTTGATGTTCGTTCAGGACGCGTACATGTGCACAGTGATTGGATGCGGCCTGTTTCTAGCTTCCAGCTATGTTTTAACTAGAAGTAAATACCAGCGGTTGCGGTTTTTGGATACAAACAAGCCTCGCTTTAAGTCTTGTAAACTAATACACTCTTCGATTAAAGCGCTTTCTTCTATATTCAACATAACATAATGATATAATCTATAATAGCAGTCGCTTACTCTGACGACTATCACCTATGCCATGTTCGTCCTATATATATATATATACGCGAAGCAAAACAGCCTCAATTTGTTACGGCGCTTTTGTCAACTAGTGAATTCCCGTTACTACCAGCGATAGTGTTATTACTAGAACGGTAGCATTATATACCTGTATAAATAAACAATGAATGGATATTGCTGCCATTCTTGATGATTATAGTTACTATTTTTATTATACGTTAGTATGTTAGTTTGTTCACGAATGTTGTCATCCTTCGTTTTCGGTGAATATCAAGGATGTGTTGAAGCCGATCGGAGAATGTAGATCACTTCGGATCGATATAAGATTGTTACTCTGTTTTTGTAGCATCGAAGCTGTTTTTTTCGCTTATTTACCTCACATCCAACGTGATAACACAGGGCGATTTTATTCCATACACGTTAAACAATTCAGCGGCTGTCAAATAAAAAGATAAAATATTGTTGATCCTCTGACTAAATGCTATCGCTCATGGGTCCAGTAACTTCGTCTAGTTGAAATAGATACTGCACGCATTCAATATTACGAATCACTCAAAAAATCTGCCGATCTAGCTAACGTTTTACGACACCCCGAAATATTTCAGCTGTTAATAAAGAAAGAAACAAAGATGGCCTTGATTGATTAAGCTGCGTGGCTCATCCGCCATGTTTATCAGATGCAAAACAAGCATCAAAACAAACCCGCTTTTATACATATTCTACCTTCAATGCGTATGCGCCAATACTAATAAGAAAAACAAAACAGTCACTAGATGCAGCCAATGGCGACGAGCATTAACGAAACAATTTAGATAATTAGCAAGAATCATTCATTATAATAATTAGGGCGCATAATAGGTGAATGCACCCTCGGGCGCTGTAGACTGGGGCGCTGTAATTTTTCTCCCGCTGTCGAAAGCTTTTGTCGTCCTCCATTCCCAGTTCGTTTTACACGACACACAAAACGTATTGATTTTATAGACGAGCGTTTTGTTGTCCTATCTACGACTCTTGTCAGGATCCTTGAAAGCATTGGTATTACTACACGTGTTGTTCTTAAGCGATACCTGATGCGTTCTTTGCCACACGGAACAGAGGAGATTTGACTTAATTAATTAAAGTAATTTAGATTTGAAAGCTGCTATTCGTCGCTTGAAACAATGCTCAACGGAATATTTATTCCTAATGGGAAAATAGTGATTGATCGTTGCAGTCGATATAATTTCAACAAAGCACAACAAAAAAGACAATCACACGATTTTTAACATCGAAAACAATAACTGAACAATTCTATTTAAACTTAAACATTTGTGTCAGTATACTACTTATTATGCTCTTACCAAGTAAAACGCAGTAATTTAGACGTCCTTGATCTTACCACACCAAATGTATGTAGTCAACCGTATTAAAAACAGTAAGAATAACGCCCGAAACAAAAAAACTATTAAATTTCGAGCTCTTGCCGATTTCGAGATGTTAGCCTAACGCTTGTCCTGCAAAACCTAATTTTCATAGAAGTCATGTATTAGTATTCAGTCTAATACTCTACAGCTGATCGTGTACATGACGTTCCCCGTTCCAGCGAAACGAGGTTCCTCAACAGCAACATGTTGGCAGCCGGAATACGATGGTGCCTATCTGTCGGTGGGATGTCAGGCCGACGCATAGCTACCGATTTATTTCTGTAACACTCCAAACAGGGAAAGGGACATTGAAATTCAAAACTTACTGCTAAATATATGTTAAACTTTCTAGTTAACTTAATTAAATACCAACTTGCATTTCTGGGCAAAAAATACATTTATAATAAACAAAAAAAAAACCAGATAGTGTCACCGGACAGCAAACTATTTTATTGTATTCATAAGTGTGTTTCTTTCTTCTAGTAACGTTTTTCTCGAATAGGTCAGGTGAGTCAAACGACTTATTGGATTCATGAAGGCGTAGTACTTCGCGCAAGAAGAGAACTAATAATGAAGGCACTGAAAGTAATCATTTCGTTTATAATATCGATTTTAAAAGTTATTGTACTACTTTCTCCCACTGCAGCCGCCTCCATTCGGACTCTTTATACCCGTCGTTGTTCTTCTATTCGAATTTCGAGTACTTGACCTTTCTTATTGTCTTATACCTCGCGGGACAATATTCGTTAACTAGTATTTATATAGCTACAAGGTAGCCTATTGATAAATCTCCTCAGCAACTTTTAGAGATTAACCCTACGTCCAGGATACAATACTTTCGTATGTACACAATGCGCTGATATAAAAACTAGTCTAGATTACTGCAAAAGAAGGACCATTATTAGGGGCCTAAGCTCTTCCTTCATTGTGGATCTAATTCACACAGCAAAGGCTCAGTGTCTAAAATGTTTATAACCCGTTAATTTGCTGAATTTCTATGAAGAAATTATTTTGATGCTCGCTTAAGGTAATAACGTAATACGGGCGGCAAGTTATCCGGCAGAGAAGTTTATTTTGTTTTTTTGTAACCAAATTGTAGTATAGTAATGGATGGCACGCTAATTAGCCTGCAGGCGTCCGTAACATAGCGACAACTAACTATAAGAATGTCTATGGACATGCTGCTTTTCAGCAACTGTGTACCTGTATCTAATACGGAAAGCTACTATTTAATCTACGATTCTTTAACAGAATAAAAGAGGCTTATAACCAAATTTTCCCTATTTTCGTTTCAGGAAAGTAGATGCTTTACACTAAACAAATAGTTCCTACCTAGCAATAGCTTCAGTGATTTCTACGTAAAGTAAACGGATTGTCGATGTGCAGAAAGGTGCTTCTGCTTCTGAAGTGCATGATCATGTTTTGTATTTGAAGCATCAGGTACAAAATGGGGTATAGACAACCGCGAGAAATTCACTACGAGTTGACGCCCGCGACACGGCACCGTCAAGTGTCCGTCTTCCAACTGGCCTTCGCCATAGTCGTGGGCACCATCACCTTAGCTGCCATACTTCTTGCGCTTTGCGTTATTTGGTACGTTGGTTTGTCGCGCAATGCTGCAATTGCCAATATACAAAACTTCAACAGTATCTTGAAGTTAGGTACAGTGGTTTTAAGAGTACAGATAAAATTGTTCGGGAGTATTGAGCTAAGGGCCCACTGATATAGTTCTCTCCAGCACTTGACTTGCGAGTACATACTGGTATTGTGACAGATAGCAGAAGTAGATACTATTTTCTGTAATTTCTATTTAAATTCCGAATCGGTTGGAAGCGTTCCTTCTGTTTGGAACAAGCCTCTTGACCTGAACAACACATGAAGTATTGAAGTAAGGGGCCGAACATGACACTTAGCCACTTGGGTATATTCGGTTCATTTATGTTAGCCATATAAGCTTAGCCGCGTCCAACAAATTTCATTTGTACCTAAAGAAAACCACCATTACTTCTGATCGAAATCTATTATAATAGCAGTATGATAAGGATCTGAAGTTGAACCTTAGCCATATGCAAATACATTTTTCAAATTATGTCAGTTATAAATGAGGTTTGCGAGCAGCGGCGTGTCCCAGTACTAAGAGGTTACTCAGCAGGGGGCAGCGTTCCCACATAACTGATTTAGATAGATTGGTCGTCGAATATAACCTCATATTTTCTATTCAAAAAAATTTAAGAGGCTGCTGATGGTTTTTCAGGTACGGCTATAGCAGCCCGTCGGAAGTTACTAGCATCATATATAATCAGACTGACGAGGTGCTAATAATAAACCCAACGCGACCGGTCGAGCGTGTACCGAACCGAAAGCACTTTGAAGTAATCGTCGTGTACGCGGACGACAACAAGGAACGTGCGGATAACGTGGTCAGCTATTTGAATAAGACCCTCCGTGAATTGATCGATACTAAAATCTACTCCGATATCCGCATTAGCAAGGTGGGAATGGTAGAGTGACAACACTCGACCACTAAAATAATTATTCTGTACACATTTGCATCAAATATTTCGCTTGTGTATCATAGTAGACGTCCTCTTGAGAGAGCAGCAGCAGGCCTTAAGTTAATAGGCCTGTTACAGATATATATATATATATGCGTTCATTTCTACTTCAGTTTTTCGAACCGTTATATTCTAAACAAGCTTAGAGTTAAAGTGATTGAAGATGAATCCTGTAGACACCTCCAATGTTCCAATTGTTTTAAACAAGAACCGCATATGACATGCCCAAACTGAAAACATATGGGAAATATATGCGTACGTCGGAAATTTAGTCAAACCTTGCAATGGTTTAACGCTACTGCAGTCAATAGGAGGACGTTTGTCTATAACTTCGACTGTGCTTTTAACGTGTGAGGCATTTCCAATGAGCTGTAGGATTTACGTGCGGTAAACGTCCGTATTTCGCTGCAATTCATGAGAGCACGAGGAAAAAGTCGTAGAAAAGTGTAAACAATCCTTATGGGCTTTTGTTTATGAAGGCAAAGTAGCTATAGGGTGATAAGTAGGGGCAAAAAACGCTCTCACTTGTAGAGTGCGAACAGGTTTCATATGGTCAACGAATTTAGCTTTTAATTGTTCGTTCTAGAGAAGATCTCTATCGCGCAGCTACAGGGCCACATTTGTCTTCATTTCATATTATATGCTCCTGATTTTAGATATTTATCTATTTGAAGCCGAAAAACGATCTATTAGATTAGAAAAGTATGCTATTAGCTGACGGCCTTGATTTGCGTGTTGTCAACACCTGAACATCGTATAAGCTTGTCGCACTGTCTTATATTACAGGTAGGGTCAAAGAGCTTACAGAGTACAACAAGTGATCCTCGGCTAAAGCTAAAAGTACCACTGCGGTACACAGTAAAATTAGGTTCAACCGTAATTATCGTGAGTGAACAATTTCCTCCGACGGCCGAACAGGTAATCAACTTGGTTCGTCTAGACAGTCAAAGACCCTGTCGGCTTCTTGACGAAGAACGCTGTGTCGAGCTTTGCGCCATCTATCTGACGCCCGGAAACGTCCCAAACATTACGCCAGCAGTTACTGAGTATGAAGCTGTTGATGTTCGGATCGCGAACCTTGTCGATTATGCCCAAAATAGCGCCATCTATCGACAAGGCGACAATCAACTGTTCAGTGTGGCGCGATTTAGGCGAGGCTGTCTCCCGACAAGTTAGATGTCGAGCGATAATGATGCATTTAAGGACATTGTCATTCAGTTTTGTGAAGCGGTCCGCATTTGACAGTGTCGGACAAAAAGTACGAGTTGAAATATTTTTCCAGGAAGAATTACTCTGATGGCTTCCGCCGTATCGAAACGATATCGTCATGGCCCATGACCCCTTACGAGAATGTACATACATATCGAGCTTCACCACCCAACAACCCAGGAACACAGTTATCAGATAATCGCTACTGAAGGCGGAATATATTCTTGTTACAGTATTCATAGTTATAACCGGAAGACGTCTTTAGTTAGATTCTTTTGCAGATCACTATTGAGCTTATGATTACAAATTATCCTGCTTAGGGTAATTTCTTAATTTAAGACCACGATAAGTGATGCTGGTATCCAAAGATTCTCTAAGAATAAATATTTATTAATAAAGTCCACGAGGCTCTGTTACGCTTTTCTTGCAGACGCGGTGAATATTTAGCTACCGTTGTGGTACTATATGGATTAAAAAAGTGCTGATGACCAAAGGCATCCTGTGCGAATTTTTTTAACTGCTTCAATACAGCCTCGTCTGGAGCGAACCACAGTGATACGTGAAAAATCATGTTAACATCTAGTTTGAATAAAACATGTAGACAAATTATAATAGTTATGGATGAACAGACTTGGTAAGACCCTGTTTAGCACCAGCAAGAAGAACACATAGGTGCGCAGAACCGAGTTCAAGTGACCTGTTGGAATGCTTGCGTATTTTTTTTCCTGTGGTGGCCACAACGCTTCTATATATGTGTAACATTGCACATTTTACATGTACATAGTCTACCAATGCACATTTAAGTTTTATTACATGTATATCAATGGAATGAACAAGGGTTGTTTTAATGATTTAATAACAATAAACCAGGCAAGAAATTAACAAAAAGAAAGGATTGTACTAATTAATAGCATAAAGGTGCTTCAGAGACGCATAACTTGTCACCATGAGGTTTTCCTACTTGGCATGCAACAACCGTCGAGTACCTTCAATACCTTCTAGGCATAGAATCTTTGCCAGACACTTTCAGTTCAGGCTGTTTACCGTTTTATCTGCTCTTTAGCTCACAGTAGAAGGACCGCTTTATTCGCTTTTTTCAGCCGCAGGTGCCAAACTGCGCGGCAGAATGCGTGCTATATTATAAATAGCATGTATAGTACATAACACTTGTTAATACCGAATATACATATATTTTATTAATATTAAATTTAGTTAATATTAATAAATATATGTTCGGTACTGCCTTATTTTAGCATTGATCCAGGTGGCTGCCTCTCATTACAAAGCGAAATATATCTACGCTAAACATATAGCACCACGTGTCCTTAAGTCGAGTAGACGTTTGCCTACTCGACTTGTAAGTCATCATTGTACCATCACGAAGGAAGCATGAACTTACGAACAGTATTTAGGGCATTCAAATCATCATACCAGGTCTCTAGTTAGTTTAATAATATTGCATATACTTGGCACTCGGATGATGTATATACGACTATGTAAAAATCACACAGGATTTATGTGACGATATATGCCTACTATTATTTTAGTTTTAATTTCCTACAGAATGAGAAGAATATCTGTTGCTATGCACTTCCTGTGCCGTTGTGTTTCATACAGTAAGCGAATATTACCAATGAATACATTCCGTTCACATGTAGGGGAGCGGGGGTATATGGGGCAAAATATACGAAATACTGTTGTTGAGAAACCGCTGCCACAGGGGTAGGAAAATTACGTCAACATACAATGGAGGAGCAATAGTACGTTAATTTTTGAGAGATAATCAATTGGGGGAAGCTAGCTCGTTAACTCATATAGCCCCACTTAATGGGTTTGTATGGGCACAGGTGGGATCATAGAGACCACAAGTGAGGCTGTACGGACCACAAAGGATCCAGTGCACAAAAGCCTATTAGAGTGAGTTCAGCAGCCAGATACCGCTCTTATATCCTTAGTCAGACTTAACGGATTTTGAATGTCTTCGTAAAATACTACTATAATAATGTTTATATACTTTTAACGGTAATTAGCAATACATTCGTTTGGACTGATCAACAGGATAAAGCTCTTGAATCATATAAATACTAATCAACGGTGCTCTATGAGAACATATACGTCAATTTCGCTTGAAAACAATCTTGGAGCTAAACATAAAACGACTGTATGATAGTTTACATGTATACATATATATATATGTTCCCATTGCGGTAAGCTATAATCACGGGACGATCTAGTTTCGTTTTCTGCCATATAAGCAGAAATGAAATAGTACTAATTCATATAGCCCCATCTCACTGTGGTCCATTTAATCGATCCAACGAGTGACCTTTATAAAACTTAACTCATCAGTTTTTAGTTTGGCATTGAAGATGTAACTGTGATAAAAAGTAAAAAAATTCGAAAAAAATACTATATAGCTTCGCTTTTTTACATTTAGTCAAAGGAAAAAATCGGTAACGTAAAGCGCCATAACGAAATTTCTGGCCCAGATTTCTGGCTTTACTTCAGATTAGACCCGCTTCTATAGCTCTTGTTCTATGTAGCCTCACCCGTTTGGTACTCTTCGTTTGTATTAGATCAACCGCTTCTATGGGCACGATACGAAAGGAGAATTTCGTACTATATAGAATTTCTTTTTCATCATCTTTGACCATTAGGTAGACAGACAAATAATACCAGAATCAAATGCTCAGACAAACGACCATGGGATGGAACGGACTTCCGGGGATACGAAATAGCGTTCTTTCACACTACGACTCCAGCGTTATGTTAAGTAACGTCAACAATGACCGAATGATAATGAAGCTATTTCAGACAATACTATTACAACATACAAGCACTATTATTACCCCCAAGGGACATGGACATCAGTGAAGTATTATTCGCGTCGAGAAATGTTCGCAGTAGATGATTCACCTCAGCCACTTCGAGTTGAACTAACGCCTGTCTAGTGTCCATCGTTCAGTGAATGCGCAAAGATAACTGAGCGACGTTACCGTGTGGGAAGCCATTGCGCTCGAGCTGAATGAGAATTAACTTAGTTTTATCGAAGTTATCTACCTTTAAGTTAATGTACCGGTCAATAAATGATGTCGGGTCGAAATTCTGATGTCAGGCGCAACAATAAGCTTATCAACCCAAATCGAGAGCTGAACAATCGGGCTTCAGTAGGTTAGTTTCCCGGGTACAAAAAAAAAGCTTGTGATTTACCTGATTTCTTTCTTTAAAATGGTACACGAGCAAATAAATGAATATATTTGCTCGTATAGCATTTTTTGAGCCTTCACTGTTGTGCGCCGTTTATCAACCTTTCATGTTTACGGAAACACTGGTGGCAGAAATAGGCTTCCTAGAGTTAGCGTTGATGGACGTCGTTGAAAAGCATGTTCTACTTGAAACAAGCGTCAACGTTAGTCATAGTTAAAATATGGCAATCAATGTGGCTCGAAAGAATCGAGAGCGCAGTCACGACTAACCAGTTTCCGCATCTATTAGTCACTTCTTCGAAACATGACATTTACGGAGTTTTCTATGTTTTACCGTGCGGTGGAGTTTTTCTGCCAATCACGAAGGGATCTAAATTGAGATCCCTTTGTTGCAGGTAATCATCGTTCAATTTGACTAATCACTTTTAAGCCATATCACTTCAATCAAGAGGTATAAAACCTCTGTCTTTGCCCCGCGTTAGGTTAATTGGTATACGGGAAAGTAGTTCTTCGATAATGGCGCTAAGTTCGTGCTTATTTGTAATTCTTGCTTCGTGAAAATATATGTGTATGAGAAGGATTTAGAAATTCAATGAGACGTACTTATCTGCCAGGTAAATACAATAAAACGTCGTCTAAAGTATTTAAATTTGTACGGTTAGAGAATACTCGAAACGCGTACTTCTTTTATCAAGGTTGACATGGGCCAGACCAAACTGGCGATCGCCATGTTAGGCAAGCTTAATAAAAATGTTTTACAAAACCTAAGCGGGAGGATTTTCTTCTCGATCTCATCTTAATAGTCTTCTTATTGTTTGACAATGCAACGTTTTTTTTGGGGTATAAATACGCGCGTAATTTAGACAAATATATGCACATGGTAGGTCCTACAAGGCTTTCTGAGACACTCCATTCCCTGTTCTAGTAATAAACGATTTCGTATAATGATTTTGCTAACCTAAATAGTTTTTCTCGTCAGAAACATACTATTGAGTAAGCGATTCACTTGACTTCCCTTATTTTCAATAAGCGATCCAGCGTCACTGGTGTTCTTGTGTTATCAAAATAGGTCAGCTTATGGATGATAGTATTTCCGTCAGTGTACAGAAGATGTCGTTTGTAGCAGTCTGGCGAAATCCAGTGTAGACTGGAGGTCTGGCATCGATCGGTTGTTGTTCGAGTGGGTAAATGACTCGACGAATTACGGTGGTTCGGCCTGTCTATTCTGAAATAGGACGGATAACCAGTCATTCTATACCCAGTCCGGTCCCATCTAAAGGACAGTTTCTCATCAGGAGGCAATTTGTTTTTAGACCACAGAGCCCCGAACTGCCGTTTTGTAATACTCGTAAAATAATTAAGGACGAACGCAGTTAGCGCATGGAATTTTAGGCACTTTTTTCTTTGTCACTGTTTTCCTTCATATGATATAGAACTCTGTCTGGCTACATTTCCCTCACCGAATCTGCTCTCCAACTCATCACTAATTATTATCATCAAACTCTGTTATTGTGGCTTTGACAGTTTGGGCGATGGCTATGGCGCGTATCTGAGCAACGCCAAAAAGTCTTTGAAACGTGTAGTCCCGTTTACCGTTTAACCCAGACTGATTTATGGCTCATATAAAACAACTGGAAAAATTAAGACCTGTTGAATATCTGCTCTTTCAGGTCTTTTCAGCTTTAGGGCAAATTTCATTATATGTAACGGTCGCTATCTAATACACTGGCTTTAATAAACACTAATTTAATGAAAAACAATATTTGCCCAAAATGTATTTTAAATTAATTGCTTAAAGCCTAGTTGGTCTTTGGCTAGAAATATGTTCAGCTTCAAAGTTCAAAGTCACGCGAAAAGAAAGTTCACATTTGAGCTTATCCTGCGAGCACACTATAGGATGCACATAGAAAGTTAAAGTAAACTTGTCAACGGCTTAAATTTGTAAGCTATTTCATAAACGTTACTGATAAATACATATGTTGTGTTAATAATATATATAAGTATTGTATAAAACTACAAAGGTTTACCCTGCAAAGAGGTTTCTATACTGTGTAATGATGTGAAAGTCCGCTTATGGGAGGAAAATGTTTTTAGGAAGATACTTTCAACCACTTTTGGTTGTGCTGTACATTTTTCGCTATAATACTCTATACGTGATTATCTCTGCTCCTGAGATCCTTGAAAAACATGTTTTCAACAAAAGTTTAACAGTGCCTAAAATCTGTCTGTTGGATCTAATCTTATGAACGTAAGATAAGTTTCAGTGATCATGCGCATTTAATTTGTTACCAAGTTGTGTATGAACGCAAGTTTATACGGAATAATAATAATGCTTAAAAGGAGCGTCTAAAAGATACTAATTTCTTGGTCAAAAGTATCACTGTCTCAGCATACCTAGAAAAATGGAGAGTGCATAATACTTTCATCCAAACGATGTTCAACAACGAAAATCAAACAAAACAAAGGCCAACAAGAGCTGATTGCTTTTGCTGTACTATTTATATATATATATATATAATCCTTTGGCTATTGAGATTCACATGTATTAGATTGTTTCGAAGGGAGTGGTGATTTTTGCTAATTTTCTAATTTCTAGAGATTTTGTCTCTAGCTTATAGTCAAGTGTTATATACCGTTGAAAAGCTTTTTGGTTTGCTTTACATTTTTTCCAAGCTA